AATTTGGTTGTGCTAGAGAGGAAGATAAGTCCATGATCCCTAACTCTAGGTTCAACACTAAGTGAGGTGAGAGAACTCTCCATTTAGTTCTTCAGTTTCCAAAGGTGGTAGGCTACCCCTTTAATGTGAGGCCTCTACTCTGTTTTTTCTATATCAGAGCACTTGTTCTGATCTAGCCTTTGGATGTATTTTTTTTCCAATAACTCAGTTACTCAGTGGACTTTTCCTTTTAGTTGTCTCAGTAAATCTGAGGATCTATATAGTCATTCATTGATAATACAGCTTATTTCAGAAATAAACACTCAACTTTGTATTCCCTGTATATAATACTTGAATTTAAAATGCACATAATTGAGGCTATCATTGTAGCATAGCAGGTTAAGCCACCACCTGCAACGCCAGCATCCCCTATGGGCACCAGTTCATATCCCAGCTGCTCCACGTCCAATCCAGCTCCCTGCTAATGGCCTGCGGAAATCAGTGAAAGGTGGCCTAAGTACTTGTGTTCCTGCCACCCACATGGGAGACCTGGAAGAGCTCTTGACTGCTGGCTTCAGCCTGGCCCAGCTCTGGCCTTTGCAGCTAGGGAGTGAGCCTTCAGATGGAAGATTCTCTCTCTCTCCCTTACTATCTGTAACTCTGACTTTCAAATAAATAAATAAACCTTTCTTAAAAATACACATTCAGCTTTATGGTTAATGTTACTTAATTATTAAATTCAAATTGCTGTACCCAATTTGCCTCTTATCAAGGGTATAAAGTAAAAATATTATATATTGGTTTTTTGTTACTACAACTAAATACCCAAGACAAGTTACTTATGAAGGAAGGAGATTTTATTTTGGCTCAGTCTTTTGGAGGCCCTGTTGGTTCAGTCGTGTGGTGAGACAGTGGCATTGTGTGTGAAGAAAGGATCACATGGTAGCCAGGAAACAGGTGAGAACTACCTACATCTACACCCTCAGTGACCTAAGTCTCTCTCAATAAGCCTACCTTTCTAAACACTGTAAATGATAAGGCCTCCACCCTTAATCCATTAACCAGTAACAAGACTTTAGGGACCTGGCCTTTAACACATGAGCCAAACTAATATGCAAACCAAGGCATACTGGTAAGCAATATTTTGAATTTCTAGGCTGATCTTTATTTCACTTCACCAACATGTCTCCCACCCCCTGGGATTCCCCATAAAGTGTACTGATCTGGTTATGTATAAGTTCCTTAGAACTTGAACTACATTTACAAATAATTACAGATCTGTAGTAATAGTAATCCTTATGTACAATTCTAGACAGCTATCTTCAAATGAATGACTTTCAACAAATGTTTCTTATTAACAGTAGCTCAGTGGTCAAATTGTACAGATGGAGGTTTCTTTGACATTGTATATTTATGCTTAGTGAATATTCTTTGTTAATCAAACTAATAGCCAACCCAAATTGCAGCACATTTATGTTTTATACTTTAGCAAAACTGTGTTTACAAGTTAAATACAAGGGTATCTTAAATATAGTGTTACTCATAGAAAAGTATATTAGATTGTCTTTTTATTTTAGTAGGAAAAGACAATGAAAATTCTGGAAAAAAAGATGATTAACATGTTTATTAATTCACATAGGATGTCATTTAAATCTTTTTATATTCCCCAGTTAATACAGAGTCTTGGAATTCAAACCAAGTACATTTATTAGGTTTATCTCCGAACACTGAAAATAAAAATGAAACTTTGAAAACAGAACTTTTACATAGTCAGCAAACTTATAGAGTTTGGATTTAACACCCTGTTTACCACCTTTAAAAGACATTTTCTGTTTCCAGAGTAGTAACTGCCTTTGTATGGTAATGAAGGCTCCTGACATCCTCCCTCCAACCAGAGATTCTCTGTTCCCTTGTTTAGAAGTTAAAATTCATCATTTGTGGACACTTTGTTCTTTTACCTCTTTCTCAGTCGGGTCACTATAGTGTAGGGAATGGTTGTCCAAGAGGGAGTGTGGGACGGTAATAATGGATATTGTAACTTATTTTTACCTTGGACTACCATGCCTATAGCCTCTCTTCAGAAAAATTGGAGAGCTTAGACTTACAACTGATTTGCTTTTTTCTATTTTTCTTGCATGACAACATCATAACAATGCTTCTTTCTGACATGTAGTAATTCAAGTGTGTTCTTATCAGAGCAAAGTATTCATTATGGAATGAATACTCTGTCAAGATATTCAAGATACCAAATACCAGTCAAGATATTCAAATACCTTCATGTGTACCTTCATGGTTACAGAAAATTAAGTTTAATATCATCTAGTTTTTTTCCCTCTGGAACTATATGCTGTGGAAATCTAATGCTACAGATAAGAGGTTTGTTTTCTCAAATTTTTTTTAATCACTTTGGTGTTTTGGGTACTCTTTCACAAATCCTTTGTGTCTTGAAGGACGCTTTTTGAATTGGGGAGTTATAGTAGTGGTTGTCAGTTTCTTTGGTTTTTTATTTTGGGAATAGTCCCAACACTTGGGAATATTATCACTCATGATTCTCCATTGTTAAAGTGGTAATAATAAGAAAAAGGAAATCATTGCAGAAATGCAAATTCCTGCCTCTATGTAATAATGTCCCTTCTAAATAACTGTGTCTGTCCTGCATGGCTAGAAAGATTAAAATGAGCCCCTCCTAATATATGTTAAAATAAATAATTAGCCCAGACTGAGAGACTTCCTAGTGGAAAGGTGCAGAGTGGGCTGTCACATAGCTAGCTCTCTTCTAAACAAAGCCATTAACTCATATTGTTAATCACTTTCTGACACCCGTCCCTCTTGCTTGGTTCCTATCCCTGGGAATGGCTTTATGCTGCACCCTTTCTCATTGACAGTCATGATCAGACCTGTATTTTTTCCAGGAGTGTTGGTAGGCAGTTCTCCTGAGTCAGAGTAGAAGGAGTTCAAAAGATTGCTCTAAATCAGATAAACAAGTAGGAGAAAATATCCCTAACTACCAGCTGGTAAGTAAGCATTCCTTGGCTCTTTTAACATGAGGACATTTTTGGCTAAATATAATGACAGGATCTCAATAGTTCAACAATTTATATTTCCCAAAATTTCAAAGAGGCTATGCCATAAAACTTTTCCTTAAGAATTCATATTTCCTGTTCTCTTTTATATTCATCCATAGTACAAAGATTAATTGCATGAGGTTCCCTCCATTTTTATTTTGTAATTCTATACTTCTGGCCCTTCCCCTTCCAAAAGGCTACTTCATATATCCAGCAAAATGTTGTAAGATGTCTGCCCTCCTCCACCCAAGACAGAGTCGATCATCTTCGACACCTCACCTACCTGCTTAGTCTCCTGAGTCTGCTACTGAGTGTAATTCCCCTTATTGGCAACACCACTCACCAGGTTAGCTCTACAGATTCTTTTTAGCCTAATTCAGTCCATATTTTTCCAGTAAGTGTGTATATCAAGATAACTACATCACTGTATGTTTGCAGCTAAATAAACTTCTATTTAAAAACATTTTAGAGCATAAATCAGTCTTTCATTGCAAGAAACTGGTTTCAGCCCAGTTACTTATGGGCATGAGAGCTGGTATGCCTTAGGCTCCATTATAGATTATTTGCTTAAAGTATCAATATTAGAAATGGGGGCTATTTAGGAATTGAACCCCCTTGCTGTTGTTGATACCTGCTTTCCTTTGAATGACTTTCTTAAGGTAGATTTTTCACTCTGTTGAAAAGCAATCATGATCAAGGTATATAGTAACAACACTCTCATTCTTACCTGCCAGCTACCCAGTTCCACCCTGACCTCCCTAATAGACAACTACTTAGTTTACAGTGCACCCTTCCAGAAATTTGTTGTGCAATTATTGACAAAAATAAAATATTATTTTCTTCCTTTTTTACACAAAAGTAGCCTATATACATCCTACAACTTTTATTTCATTTAATATATCCTGAATTTTGTCTGTATCTATATATAGGGAGCTGCCTTGCTCCACTCTTCTTAAAATATGCAAAATATTCCCCTCTCAGGAAGTACATAATTTATATAGCCACACCCTCATTAAGGAATTTTTCTTAATTTGCTGTTATAAATAACTCTGTAGTAAATAACTTTGTATGAACACCATTTTGTGCAAATATATTTGTAGGAGAAATTCTCAAAAGTAAAAAAAGCATTTGGATCCTAAATCAGGGAAAGATGATTTTAAGATTATACAGAGTGTTCATCTACAGAAGGAAGGAAACACCAGTACATGCTTTGCTTCTCAATCTTTCTGCCCATATTCTTTTTTTCAGACGTTCAGGCTTCTAATTTCTACTGCCCTGTTTTGGCACCAGGTTTGTCTCTTCTTAACTGTAAGATCATTTTCAACAACCCCAAAGCTAATTCTTGGCTGTTTCAGTATCTTCTTTCCAGAAATCTTAGAAAGTCAACCCTAGTGAAAAAAAATAATTGGATTGAGAATTGATTTAAATTTTTTCATGGCAGGCATTAAATAAATATATCTAAATGGCAGTACATTTTTCAAGGTATCATTGATTTATGTTATTTTAGTTAAAGCTTATCATTACTTTCATTTGATACTACAAAGCATTATTTCAAAATTTCATGTTACAGAGTAGTGCAGTATAACCCTCTGCTTGATACTCAAAAAAAAAAAAAAAAACACACATCCGTTTTTTTGTTTTTGTTTTTGTTTTTGTTTTTGTTTTTTTGTGGTGGGAAAGGTTAAGCCATAGTTTCAACCCAACTTCAATGAGTCAGAAATTTATTTTGAAAAGGGGGGGTTTTTATTGCTCTGTGAAATTCATCAAATTAAAAGGCTCTGGATTTCATGATTTTGCTCATAACAAATTTTTGACACTTCTTTTTCCCCTTTCCTCAATATTTGAGAGGTTTTTTTCCCTATTGTGCATGATAGAGGAATGCTGCTATGCTTGCAAGTAATTAACTTGAAATTGTTTTGAGTAATTCTGCTTTTTTGGCTTTTTGTACCTAATCAGAATTGATGTGACTGAAGTGCAAATCTTCATAATAATCATGCATTTGCTGGCAGTGATTGGAGGACCACCTTTTTGGCAATCTATGGTAACTTTGTTCGCATTGTGTATCCCATGTAATGCATGTTGTCTTCTGCTTGTGTTTTCTAATATAGGATAATCCAATTAAAAGGTAATGTGTACGACTATTTCATTTTTTGTGAAAATGAAAAGTCACAGCAAACGGTAGAACATAGACTTCTCTTGAAAGCATGGTAAATTTTACTACTGGAAATTATATAGTGCATTAGGTCTCTCCATTCCAGGGCTGTTATTTTTTTAAGACCTTTGAGAATCTGAATTATTTTTGTCAACTCATCATACAGATGAGGAAACAGCAGGTAAAGTAGCAAGATAACCAGCAACAAAGTTAATCTTTTATTCTCTTTGTGAACTACATGAATCTGCTAGCTTTTTTCTCATTTGCTTAAAGCTCAATCATTCTGGCCCTAAAGTGCTTATTGGATGAAATCACTGCTGTGAAATGATTTTAACAAGCCAGGACCTTGATTTTCAACCTGAACTGAAATATGGTCACCTTACAAACACATTCTTTTTCACAGACCTCTGAGAGAGGGAATATAGCATCAGGGCCAAGAGCACAGGTTCTGGAACCAGACTACATTTAATCTAGGTTCCACTGCCAATTGTATGAATCAGTTCTATTATGTAACTCTCTGTAGCCTATTTTCTCTGTAAGATGAAGAGGATAGTAGTATTTATCTCATGAAGTTAGTTTGTGAACTAGTTGAATTTATATATGTGAAGCATTTAGGATAGTGCCTGTTAAATAATGAGCACTTGAAAAAAGCCATTGCTGCTCTTAAGATTTGAATATGTTCTTCCAGATCTGGGTCAAAGTAGTTTGTACTCCTTGGTCATCAGTTAACTGCTGGTTACTACCAGCACCACCCCTTCAGAACACAGTGTTTCTAATTTACTTGATCTGATTTTATCAAAAATATTTACTAAGCCTAAATGAATATAACTCTTAAAAAATCAGAATAATTGGGGCTGGCAAACTGTTAGTCACATATAAAGAAAACACACATACACACATACACAGTCATGTATAAAATACACAGGCACAGGTGCACATACGTGGGATTTTCAAAAAATTAATGGGAAATACATTTTATCTTCTAATTCCATTTTCAATGAACTATTTAAAATACCCTGTATTTGTATGTGTATGCCATAGATTTCATTATAGACATCCTATTGGCTTTGAGACTAATGTGTAGAGATAGGAGTTTTATTATTTTTACTCTTAAGTAGATTAGTTTTTTTGTAATTTCACCTTTTAGGAAAGGAAGAATAGATTTTTTTCTTGAAACCATATTACAAAGCCTAACCCAACCCCCATTTAATTTTTTTACTTCCCTTGTCTATATGGATTATTTTTCATAGGACTTATTGCATACCAAAATTGTCTCCCCAGAATTATTTTTACTGTCTTGAACATACCTATATTGCCTATAAAAGTTCAATATACCATATCCCAAAAACAGGATTTCTGACTAGATCATTTCAAAACAAATCAAATCATCTGGTTTTATATACCTAATTATCCTGGTATATATGGGAATGCATAGAACATTATAAACAAAGTTATCTATACATGTGTTATGTACATATCCTAATTTCTTAGGTAGTACCTGGCAGTGAATTGCTTCAGGTATACTTTTTACCTTTTTAAGTAGGATTTGTACTTAAAACCTATACATGGTCATAACAGATGTAGTATTTTTTATTTTAAAAAGATTAAGTATTTAGTCCTATATTTACTTGTAATTAAGATAATATACTCATCTTTTTTATTATATGTTTTTAAAAAGCTGTCTGAGGAACTCAGATTCAGGACTGAAATGGAGTTCCTAAATCCAGCAGTCCAGTTCAAAATAAATTAAGTTGCAGCAGGAAAGCAGATCCCCAGGCACCTGCCCATTTTTAACATCATCGGTCCTGTTGTTAGCATCATTAAACTGGAAGGGAAGGGCCTGTCTTCCCTGGTGATACTTGAAGACTTAGTGAAATATGCGGTGTTTTTGAGCAACTTCTGGCACAGGTTCCCACAGTTGACCTGCAGACCACCATGCAGGTTGAATATCCCTAACCTGAAATACTAAGATGAAAAGTGTTTCAGAGTTCAGATTTTTTTGGATTTGGTAATATTTGCATATACTTTATAGGCTGAGCATCCCTAACCCAAAAATTGCAAATCTGAAATACTCTAAAATTCAAAGCTTAGAACTTGAAAAATCTTGGATTTTTGGAGCACTTTTGGGCTTTTGGATCAGGGATGTGTGTAACAAATATTGCTTTTTTTCTTTTTATTTGGCTTATGGGTTCATTCTGAACATGCTGCTTTGAATTGCATTATGTTCAGGAACAACTATTACATGTATTATTCCCATTTATTTTTGTGCCAAAATGGAGAAAAGATTTATTTAGGGCTCAGCTTTGACATTTTCATCTAAGATTGTGGCCATAAAATAGAAGTTGCTTTCCAAATCTACATTACATTAAATGGCTTTTAATGATATTTAGAAAGCAAATTTATGATTTAAAAAAAAAAAAAAAAAAAAACAGTACAAAAGTCTACATAAGGTTGATTCCAGAAGATCAGCTCTTTTGGAAAGGTAAGTAAGTGATTTACATCTACATACACAAAAGACATTATTTGGGTTATACATTGCAAGCAACAAAAAACACATTTCTTGTATTGATACCCCAAAAGACAATCTCCTTTTGGAATGTCTTAGAACTGTCATCTGTCCTATCACTCTCTTAAATAAAGGGGTGGGGCGGGAGCAGACAGGCCAGTGGGATGCTGTAGTACCTGGGTTCAGTTCCCAGCTCTGGCTCCTGATTCCAGCCTGGCCCTAGTAATTGGGTTCCTGTCACCCATGTGGAAGATTTGTATTGAATTACCAGTTTACTGCCCGGGCCTTGCTGTTGATAGCAGATGGACATGGTGTGTTCCTTTGTTCTCTATCTCTCTTTCTCTCCTCACCTGCTCTTCCCTGTTGCCCTCCCTCCCTCTAATAAATAAAAATTTTAAAGAGAGAGAGAGTGTCCTCTCACTTTGGAAGAGAACTATTAAATGTTACTTTTATTGATAATTGATTCTTTTAAATGTGGTACTTGATTAACTGTATATTAAATCATGAGACATCTTCTGGAATCCAGTTAGGGCAACTGAATGCATGATTTTGCAGGTGATGTTACAGGATTCATTGAATACTTTCTGTGTAAATTATTTGCCTCTCCTTCTGAACTTTAAAAAATCTGAAAATACACTTAAATAACTCAGACATGATAATTTTCCTCCAACACTTGGTGGACACTAAAATAATGTTAACATTTTTCTGTATTTTGGTGGGATTAGCTTATATTAAGATGATTTACAAAGAGACATTCCCAAATTGAAAGAAGCTCAAAATGGTACTTTCGATTTCTGCTGAAGTTTGCTAAGACCATGTTATTATTAGCAAACTAGTATAACAGTTTAATACTGATACTAATCTGCTTTAATCCAAGCTGTTGGACCAAACTTGTCCATTGTAATCTGGTAAAGAATCTGAGAATTTAAGATTTTGTGTCTCTTGATCTTTTTTAAAATTTATTACATTATTTGGATGCATAGCTTCATGAATGAATCCAGAATATTTTCCCCTAATAGGACAGACAAGACCCAAAGGTTTTCTTAATCTTCCCAAGTCCTGGAGGCTATAGAAACTCCAGGCAGCTTGGTATAAAGGTGTTGTCACTGTAGCACACTGGCCATCTTAGATGAGTTTCAAGATGGTGCTAACGGATAAAAAAAAAGACTAAGAAAGACCAAATGTACCCACCCTTTGTGATCTGGGGGAAAACACAGAGTGTGTCCAGCCACCTTTATCTTGAGTGTGGAGTGAAATTGGCTACACTTACACTTTTTGTAAGAGGTTTAGTTGGTGCCAATTTTTAAGGGATCATCTGGTGAAGTTTAGTGTCCCAGTGACTCCAGCTTTCCCCTCACTTTGCTTCATATTTTCTTGTAGCTAATTTTTTCATTGTTTATGTGGGACCACAGTGTTTCTTCATCATCTCAAAGCTGTGTAGACAGGAAGAGAAAGGGAGACAATTTTAATCTTCTTTCAACGAATACCTATTAAGTGCCTACAACAACCGGGGCTCTAGAGAAAGTACAAGTCAGTTGAAGCAAAATCCTGCACTTAGGAGCTTACATGTTGGCCTATGTAACTAACATACATAACAAAAGTGATGAGAGTCCTGAGAATGTTTATGATACTTTGCTCCTGTGGTCTAAAGCTTGCTTGCTTACTTTGTGATTCAAGCCCTGTACTAATTTGCCAATTTCCTAATGTATGTGTTTATCACTTCTTTCAAAGGGCAACAATTTCCATGATCCTAAAGCAATTTTGTCAAATTGTAAATACTGTTATGACCAGTCAGTTCAGTCATTACATGGATTACTGTTATGCTGAGTTGGCACTTCCTCAGTACCCTGGTACTATTACAGGAATGCCCCCTTTTGCCAGAGAAGGCCTTTGTTTCTGGGATAGAAAAGCAAGAGGAGTGGTGGAGAGGCCAGGAACAAGGAAACTAGCCAAACTGTTGGGTTTCAGCCAGGTGCATCAGATTTGATTTGTAGTGTCCTTTGTTTTCTGAACTGGAGCAGAAAAATCTAGAGTTCAAAGCAACCATGGTTTTCTCCTGTACTGAAAACAAGTTGGACTGAGGAGTTGGATATCAGCTTAAGGGAAGATGAAGACCATTTAGGATGCTCCATAACATTCTAGACTTGATTTTTAGGGTGACCTATTTCACTTTGGAAAATTAAACACTACTGCAGTACAACTTGAAGTTGGAACAGTTGATTTCAATTTTTTTAAAACTGCAGTTTTGCAAGAGGCCATTGAGTTGTGTAAACAAAGTGAGTTCTTGAGAGTTTTGAGGAAATGTAGTTTTCAAATGTTAAGATTTATTTCTGCCAATGTTACTGGGGTTTTCTACATATAAAAATAGGAAGTGCCAAGTGTAAGTAGATGCTAGTCTAAAAATTTTAAATAGTCCTAATTAAATTGCTCTTTCTGTAACAACCCATTGCATGTTAAACTATCATGGGGTTTTAGAATCCTGTTCCTATAATGATTTGTTTCTGTCACCAGAACATATAACTTATTTTTCTATTGCATTGGTTTCAGTTCATATTGGACAAAATTTGAGACTAGAAAAGTAAGAGGAGTGCAAAGATGAAAATCTTAAATGATTTTAAAAATTCAGTACATTTCATTGTAAATGGTGGACACTGTGCTTGCAAGATTAAATGAATGGTATTAGTCCACTCATAAATTTTAGGTAAATCAATCCATATTGTCTATGTATAATATGATAACAATATATTGTTTACTTTTCTGAAAAGTACATTTATATGTTAAAATTTTAGATACACAATTTGGACCTGTTTGGATGTGCTTTTTTTTTTTTCTCTTGCATATGAATGACCTCTTAACCGCCCTCTGCTTTTATTAGCTTCCTATATCCTCACAATTTGAAGTTGGGAACTCTTCTGAATACAACTTTTCTCTTTAATTCTCTTTTAGAGATTTTTTTAAACCAGTTGCAAATATTTCTTATATATCCATTCTTTCTCTCACACGGTAGTCAGAAATGTACCACAAATTTAGTGGTAGAATTCAAAATATGCATACAGAAAAAGGCAAGTACACTACTTTTTAAAAAATACCAGAAGACAACTTGGTTTACTGTTGCCAGACCTATGGGATCCATTAATTTATGACACAGATTGTTAAAGTTAGAGGTTGGGATCAGAAATGAGAATAATTTCTGTATAGCCTTATGTCTTGAGACTTGTTATATATTGCATGAAATGAGATGAAAACTTCTATTGCTTTCAGTACATGATAAACTGAGGGAATGGAAAGTATTTGAGAATATGAATAAAATATTTGTGCTAGTTGTATATATTTTAATTGTGTTCTCTCTCTCTACCCATTAAAGATTCCAGTGCTGAATATTCAAATGAAAATTTTTCCTGCACTTTGTACTGTAGCAGGGACCATATTTTCCTGTACAAATTACTTCCGTGTAATCTTCACAGGTGGTGTTGGCAAAAATGGATCAACAATAGCAGTGAGTATAGCTTAAGATGTCCAGAAATTTTTGCACTGGGTCTTGTTTTTCATTTGAAATGTATAAAATCACCTGTTAATTCAGAATTTAATTATCCTTAAGAAAAATAATGTTTCAAAATTTCTCAGCTTTAAATATAGATACATGCTCAATATTTGCATGTTTATTGTGCACACACAATAAAAACTTGAACACATACTTTTTTTTTAAATGTGACCTGATTTGTAAAAATAATGCTGTCCATTTAAGTCAAATTCTCAGTTCTTGCCTAACCTATTTGTGTTGTTGCTTTTTGTTAGCCATTCTGTTGTTCCATTTAGTTTATAGAAATTGCCAGCTTTCAGGCAACATGAAGCTCTTGGAAGTTTGAGTTGAACTGTGTTACAGCAAAAGCGTGTAGTATATTATTAAATCTTCTCTTTACTTTGTGCAGGGAACAAGTGTCCTTTCTCCTTTTCTCCATATTGGATCAGTGATTACGTTAGCTGCAATGATCTACAAGAAATCAGCAGTTCAGCTTTTTGAAAAGCATCCTTGTCTTTATATACTGACATTTGGTTTTGTATCTGCTAAAATCACTAACAAGCTTGTGGTAAGTACTCAGATTTTCATTATTTTGCTGTTAACTGTCTCATTTTGGTTTTATGGCCCTATTTTTCATTATGTGGCTTCCTAAGCAGTCCTAAAGTTTGAAGTCACAGCCTGTTGACATCAGCAAGAAAGCTATACCTTTTGTAAACTACAATTTAAGGTCATCGGAAGTTCTTTGAACCCCTACAACTTTTCACTTTTCTATTCCTTATTTAGTGGTTGTTTAGATTACCTGCTCTCCTTAGTCTCAGTCTCAACTGAAATTTAAGGGTATTGCTGAAAAGCATCTTTTGTGGAATTAGTTAACATGATGATCCCTTTCTTTTTCACATATGCTTCATATTTCTAAGTAATTGAAATAGATATTTGAACTCACTACTGATTTACTTTGTAGATCACAGTTGCTCTGTATGAAAATGTGGACATCACTGATTCTGTTTTATTCATAGGTTGCACACATGACGAAAAGTGAAATGCATTTGCATGACACAGCATTCATAGGTCCAGCACTTTTGTTTCTGGATCAGTATTTTAACAGCTTTATCGATGAATATATTGTACTTTGGATTGCCCTGGTAAGTATTTTGCCATGTTGTGTTTCATGATTTGGGAGCTACTTATTCTCTAGTTTTGGTAAGCCAATCCTGTGAGATAAATCATACAATTTTAATGATTTGAAGCATCAGAAATCCACATACGTGTATATGAAACTTTGTGAGAGCTCCCTGTGGCTTCAGAGTGGAGTCATTTTTTGCGTTATTGTTGTTAGTCCTGCCTACATCAATGTTCAACTCGAAACTTCTGATTATGGAAAGCAGGAGCTGGCAAACCACCCTGTGAGCCTAGAGCCTGTTCTGTAAATCAAGTCATATTGGATCCCAGCATGATCATTCATTTTTGTATTCTCTGTGGCTGTTTTCACACTATGATGGCAGACTCGGGCAGTTGTGACAAAGTGTGATCCACAGAGCTTGAAAAATGTACTGTCAAAGAATTTGTTGATCCTTATAAAGAAAAGATTATGTGGAAGTTGAGTTATTAAAACAGAGAACTGAGAGTGAATTTGAATTGAAGAGAAGCAGATCAGAAGCCACTTCTCTTTACTTTCAGGAATCTGAGGAAAGGCGTTACCATGTGCTGAGAACCTAACAGTCTCTCTTCTTTCTAGGTCTTCTCTTTCTTTGATTTGATCCGCTACTGTGTCAGTGTTTGTAATCAGATCGCATCTCACCTGCACATACATGTCTTCAGAATCAAGGTCTCTACGGCACATTCTAATCATCATTAATGATGCAATTGGTGTTTTATAGGAAACTCATGTTTTCTGCAGGAAAGAATCTGAAAATATTAAGGAGAAGGGGGGTGGATAAGAACAAATATAATTTATAATAATCAATGTTGTGTCACCTTTATTCTTTGTTACTGGTAACACTCCCTAACTATCCTGTGTGAGAATGGGAATTTAGTCCCATCCTGTAAATTGTACAATTGTCGTACAGAGTTTGGCCCAAGAAAGCATGCAGGGGAAAAAAAATATGCCATGTGTTTGTAATTATCCTGGATTCAGAATAATGGCATGAGGAGTAGATCTCCTGTGGTGGAGATTTCTGCTGTAGATTATTTGCTGGCCAAAAGATGGTTACTTTATAATTTTTAACAAATCATCATCTTTTAGTAACATCCTTGTTTAGTGTCTTCTAAAGCTATCTTTACTGAGAGCTCAGCTTGTGACACAGATACATCCCACTAGCTTGTGAGGGGGAACTAGTGGTAAAGACCTTGAATTTGGATTGAAAGGTTTCCTATCTTTCTTTACATTATTGAGGAAGTAATTTTTTTTATTGCTCAAGAAAAAGTATCTCTCATGGGCTTGGGAAGTCCTGTTAGCATGTGGAATCATGTGTTAACTTTGTCAATCCATTTTATTTTTTTAAATAAATATGTGATCCAAAAGCCAACTTTTCTCACTTTTATTCAGTGGAAAGATAAAGTAATTTTTAATGTCTTTTTTAAATGTAAGTAAAATTTATTTCTGTTCTTTAACAAGTAAGGAAATTTGATCAGCTGTGTTATCATTATGTATCCCATGACCTTTCTTTTCTGCAGAAACTATTTAACTTTCAAAAAGAGAACTGTGTTCATTTTCCCTCTTGAGTTCTTTATGTTATAGTCCATCACCTTAGTGATTATCAATTGTTTAAAAATCTGAAACCTTTGCTCTAATTTTTTTTCTGTTTTTTGTTTTTTGCCTGGATCTCTCTCAGCAGTTATTTTGTACTCCCTTCTTAAGTGCACTTTGAAGTGGGAAGCAGGTATGTTTCCATTGTATATGACTAGTTTGGTTACTTGAATGAAGACAGAGCTAGCATAAAAGGTTTAAACTGTTGGCTAAATATAGTAGCTTATTTTTTATTTGTATCCTGTTCGGTAATCAGGAATAAATAGTAGCTGCACTGCCTTGCATGGCAGCCAGAACTCTACTTTCTTGCACGTTTAATGGTTCCATCAGTACCATGTAGATCTGGATTAGCAATGAGAATTTTGATTTCATTTCCAGACAGTACAGGAGATGGAAACCTCCCATTACCTTGCTGGCAACTTCTCCACCCTCTGGGATAGAGAAATAGTTTATACAGGAAAATACCAAGGCAGATAAAGTTTTGGAAGGTAGGACAAAGCAGGACATGGAGGAAAAATTCGACTTGTTTCCACTGCATATCTGTCCTCCTATTTGATTATTACAACAGACAAAGCAGGTATTAATTGCCTGCAGTGGGAATTATGGCTAAATGGCATACCAGTGTGTCATAGCACTGCCATTTTTCAGAATGGAGCCTAGAACCCAAGTCTTCTGTATCCTGGTCCAGTGTGCTTCTCTCTATCACACTGGACTTTAATGAGCTAAAGCTACAGCCAGGATGCTGAGGGCTAACTGAAATGTGCATGCATATATTCTCCTACAGACTTGGTCAGTGTAGAGGGCATTTGAAAAGCATTCAGGTATTTGGTGTGGGCCTCTTTCAGCCCTAATTACCATCAGTATCAGATCACGGGCACGTGCGTAGGGAACCGCATCTGGCCCTGACTTTTCATTTACCTGGCCAAGTATCACAAAATCACCTGAACAAGTCTTGAAGAATTACGGACTTCTAAGTCCTAACTCTAGAGATGATATGACAGATTTGGGATGGGGCTTCAGAATATTTTCACAAGTGTTTCAGGAAAACCCAGTGCAAGAAAACCAGCAACCAAAGGCAGAAGGGGCCAGGAAACCAAAGAAGCAGACAAATCCAGGGGTACACAGAATAAATTTACTTTATTGGGGGCAATGCAGGGAGACAAGCAGTCTCGGGTGGGCAAGGTAGGGCCAAGACATAAAACTGCACATCAAGGCAGGGGGAAAATCTGGATTTTACACACAAAAATGGCCCATGTTAATTGAAGTACACCTGTACTTTCTCAAGAAATACTAATATTTCAGGCATTAAATAAGGGACATTTCCAGTGTGGTCCAGCAAGTCAAGCCCAGTAGCTTATGTTAATGATTTTGCTTACCCCACAGGGTTTCAGATGATTATCAGGCTTACCCAAAGGGCAAGATGATGGTCGCAGCCAGAATGGCTGCATCCCTACAGCAAGGTTACCAGGATCTTGGTTCATGTTCTGAAACCTTTTTGAGGCACAATTAAGTTTAGGAACCAGTGTTATAAACCACCTAAAAAAACAAGGTGATGATTCTTGGGAGCTGTGACAGGTAGCCACATTGTTAGGGATGGGATGTGGGCAGTGGAGCATCTGCAGCAGGTCTCTGTGTTCCCAAATCAGACTACATCAGCTTTAACTTCATTTGGGACCTCCTTCCTGTTCCGCTCTCCAAAATATTTGTTCAATGCACAGAATTCAGTGACTTCTGAGGACCACATTCACGTAAACACACAAAAATGTTTTATTTATTTTACACATTTGAAAAGTAGAGAAACAAAAGAGACCTCCCATTCATTGACACTCCCCAATTGCCTTCAACCACTGGGACTAAGCCAGGCCAAAGCCAGGAACCAGGAATTCGGTCCACGTCTCCCACATGGGTAACAGGGACCCACGTGCTTGAGCCATCACCTGCTGCTGCCCAGGATGCTCATTAACATAAAGATGGAATTGGGAGCAGAGCTGGGACTTGAACCCAGGCCCTCCATTATGGGATGCAGGTATCTAGGTGCATCTTAACCACTAGGGCCAAACACCCATCTCTAAACACACTTTAAAATTTGGGGGCAGGCCGGCGCCACGGCTCACTTGGCTAATCCTCCACCTGCGGCACCAGCACCCTGGGTTCTAGTCCCAGTTGGGGCGCCAGATTCTGTCCCGGTTGCTCCTCTTCCATTCCAGCTCTCTGCTGTGGCCCGGGAGTGCAGTGGAGGATGGCCCAAGTCCTTGGGCCCTGCACCCACATGGGAGACCAGGAGGAAGCACCTGGCTCCTGGTTTTGGATCAGCACAGCGCACCTGCCGTAGCAGCCATTTGGGGGATAAACCAATGGAAGGAAGACCTTTCTCTATATCTCTCTCAATGTCTAACTCTGCCTGTCAAAAAAAATTGGGGGGCAGGCATTTACTACTGCAGTTGAGACACTTCTTGGGACATCCACATACCATTATTGGAGTAACTGTTTCAAGTTCTAGCTCCTCTGATACCCATCAAGCTTTCTCACCTGGGAGGCAGCACATGATGGTTCAAATATTGGTCCCTACACCCATGTGGGAGACCCAGATTGAGTTCTGGGCTCCTGGCTTCAGTTTGGCCCAACCCTGGTGGTTGTGGGCATTGGAAGAGTGAACCAAAAGATGCTAGATCTTTGTTTCTGTGATTTCTAAATAAAATTAAGGGGTGGGGGTTGAATTTTTCTAACAATAAAATGCTTCTGAAAAAGTGTCCCAGATCTTGGAGTGTTTAAGCAGAAACTGTCCATAGAGGTGTAGCAGGAGAAAGGAGCAGGTGTCACTGAACTCCTTTTGACTCTAAGGTTGTGACCTCTTTTCTGAAAAGGGAAAAAAAAGTCAGTGCACTAGTTGAAGAACTGAACTAGGCTTCCCAAAAAATAACCACCAGTTGGAGATAGGATATCTAAGACTAAAAGTAAAGAACTGGTCCAAACAGACCCATTTGTAGAAGTCGTGTAGTGTTCTCCACTCGCTTCCATGGACTCAAATCCCTACTTGGAGTTACCCTAGACAGCGATGGCTTCCCTCTGGCCAGAATCCTCTCCTGCTGGGGCTGTCAAAAAGCAAACCTACCTGGAAACAAGGACTCTGCTGCCCTGTGACCAGTACTGTTGCTACTTTTACCAGTATCTCTACTCTTCCTGATAGAAGTGGAGCCGCTGACCCCTAGGATTCTACACCTCCATGCACAGCCCACAGTTCAGGGCCACTGTGACCAGGTACTCCACTTCTCATCAGTTTACTCACACAAACACTGCCTCATTTTTGTGGTTCTGTTGGTTCTGTTCCTATAGTGGTAGCCAAAGAGACACACGAACAGTGAGATTTCCATCTTTATTCTCATCCTCACATTTCCATAGACCTCCTTTTTTTTTCAGTGTGGAGGAGCTGAACCTTTGGGCCACAACTGCGATCTCTATTGCTGGTTTTTTAACAGTCATTCCCAGGAAAGGGTGGTTGTAGCAGCCTCTAACCAAATGTCTGCAACACCTATACTACTATTACCTCCCCTGTGTCACAGCTGTCAAACATGTAGCTTTGAGCCCAGTTCTGTGAGCTTGGGGTCACAGCCCTCCAAAGTCTTGAGAAAGGTGGAATTAGCCCCAAATCAGACACCAGCTTGAAGCAAAACTTGGTCCCCAGGACTCGGGAGGAGGCTGTGGATTCCGAGGGCTGAGCGCTTCGCTGATCCTACCACACTGGCAGGGGCCGAAGTCCAGAACTGGCCTTTAGGTCTAGTCTCTCGCTCACCACAGTTCTTACTTCACCGACTTTTCCCTTGATTTCTTCTGTTTCTTCTGTTCCTCATATTCAAGTATTTTCTGTTGGAAGTAGCCTGTGGATTCAGAAACAGGCATGGGAGACGTCTGCTCAAACTGTCACAAGCTCAGGAGTGAGGATCAGAAATACCTATCTTTGCACCCCACTCCCCTCTCAGGCCTCTAGAGGCCCAAGTACTCAGTTTGGCTCCAAAAGGCCCACACACAAAGGGAGGGCACTCAGCAGGAATTAGTTCTAAACTAAAAGAAGCAAGGGCCCAGTACTTCTAGCTGATGACTTAACAAAATGTCCATCCATGAGGCATCATCTCAGCCTTGGGCAGTAATCTCAGGTTACTTCCTTTCGGCCCTACTAATAGAACTAACAGCTATTCTGTGGGCCTCTGGAGAGAAATACTCTTTCCTCCACCCCCTCCATCCCAGAGGTGATGCTGTGGGATTGGATGTTTGGGGGCTGTCACCAGATACCTGCAGGAGGAGTTTTGCTCTTCTCGGCCTCCTGGATGAAAAGGGAGAAGAGCTGTGTCTTCACAAACTTCTTCACGAATCGGCGGTTAGTCTTGGAGGTCAGAGCCTTACAGAAGGGCCGTTCTTGGAAGTGGCCTTGCCCACTGGCTTCCCGCTTGATGTAGGAAGCATAGTGGCCTACAGTCTTGACAAAGAACTGAACGAAAGGGCCTGAAACGTGCTCATTCACTTGTTCTGAAGCTACAGGGGACACACAAAGGCCATGTCAGGTGGAAAGCTCTTGGGGAAAGTGGTAGGGTGGGGGTCATAGTTACTGGTGACTAATTGCAAGGGGAGGCTGGATCTGGGTTCTCTGCCATTGCTTAGGAGAAATATAAATCTCTTGTCCAGACTTGCTGCAGGATCTAGGTCTCTGGGGCTGTGCTAGGATTCTGAGTGAATTCATTTTAATTCGAGAAGGGAATTGTGCCCTTGAATGTCCTGGAAAACCCCAAAATAAGAGGGGCCTAGGACTTACTCTTTAACTCATTGATCCCTTGGCTAAGAGAGTCTAGGATGTCATCCTGAAGCTTTGGTGGCAGGATGTCTTTTTCATCACCAACCTAGAAGACAGAGTCAACCCAGGGTCAAGCAGTCAAGGAGGAGGTGTGGGGTGAAGGGAGGCATGAGTGTGCACCCCACTCCCCACCCCCAAATAAGCTGGGCGTAGGAGAGAGACAGCCGAAGCTCTGCCTTCACTTCAGTTTGGTTCTAAACCTCGGCAAGTGATCCCCTTTTATCCCTGTGGTGCCCGGGTTACATTCCTTGCCTGAAACACACCGACACTGAGTGCCCTATAATGGAGTCCTCTGGGTCTCTGGACTCCTTGAGAGAGAGAAGGTCGTCAGTGCAGATCCCACTCAACAAAAGTGCTGGTGTTTGTTAAAATTAAGTGGAACACAGGTGAGACTAGTGGTTGAGTCAGCAGGAGACCTGCGGGGCTCTGAACCCAGCCACTTACAGACAGTAAGAAGGTTCCTTCATGCAGATCCACCAACAGGACCTGAAATAAACACAGAATGGCTATACCTTGGAGAACTTAGCATCCCCCTTTATGCCCAAAGTTATCCCTTCGGGTAATGTAATGGTAAAATCAACATCTTCCATCCTCATTTCCTGTCTGGCATCCTCATCCCCACCAATCCCCTCCGGAACTAGTTCCCTTCCTGGGGAAAGGGTGTATGTGTGTCTAAGGAAGGGGATAGGAAAAAGAGCTAAGAAAGAAAATGCAACATGGGGAAATCACAGCCAGTCACTCCCTGAATACAACACCGCTCGTAGTGATTACTTCCACAAATGCAGCATTTAGCATATGGCACGCCTAAGTGCCTTGCACAGTGTCTCATGGAATCCTCAAAACAGTACAGCTGTCGTCAAGGCTGCAATTTCCTCCCTACGGCTGTGCTCCAACTCCCTGTGCTCTGGTCAGCTTCAGGAGAGAGGTGCATGTGTTTTGATCTTTTAATGCTTGCCACAATTTTATGAACAACTGCCTGGAGTTCTATTTAAAAGTTCCCTCAGTGCTTTGGGCCTTCCAGCAGGAGCCTCAGCAAGGAAAGGAGATGAGCCCAGGGTCAAGGGAAAAAGGGAAATAAACGAACCCCAGGCCGAGAGCAAAAGAGACAGAAAAGAAGTGAGGGAGGAGATCATGCGTCTAGGCTGCAAGTGAGACAAGCATGGGGCTGGAACTCAGAGGACCAGGGTTCTACCCACCTGCCCCTGTCACAGCCTGAGGGGTCTTCCAATGAGACCAGAGATTACAAGTGGGCCTCCTGCTGGCATATCTTTGATCCTCAGAGTATTTTTGAATAATTTGATGAGTTTCCAATATTTAAATTGAATTCCCGTAAAATTTGAACTTTTGACCTCTCTTGAAAAGTCAGAAACTTGAACACTGACCCATATTTCTGAAGGATGATCATCAGCTGCCCCCTTCAGGCAAGCATGCGGTCACCAGTTTGCCATAATCCCCCAGATCCTGGGTTGGTCATTTAGGACCCTGTGTTGGCCTCATCTTTCTGGTTTATGACCTTAGTTTGACAATAGGGTGTGAATAATCCCTCTTTGCTCCCCCTTCTTTGAAATACAAGGAGGAAAAAAAGTATGCCAAAAACAGAGTGCGCACTGTAATTATGTATCACCAGGGGAGAAAAGTTGAACTAGTCCAGGCCTGAAACCACTTGTATACATAGGCTCAGATGCCTTCATGTAGAGAAAGCTGTTCATTGGCCAGGGTGGGTGGAGGGAGGCTGGGAGGAAAGATATGTTGAAAGACTAATTTTTTTTAGATTGTTCCCAGAAATCTTTCCAGTATTGGGGTATATTATTGCCTGCAGAGTGATCCCTTCCAAACAGCTTACAGGGAAGGCCAAGGGATCCCCTTTCCCCCAGCACACACAAACACGCACCCTGCACACATGGCCCTCACTCCTCCTCCTCCCCTGCCCATTTCAGAGCACTGATGAGGAAGAAAATAGGCCAAGTCTCTTCGAGGGCAGGAACCTTGGGTGTCTTCCTGCCTGGTCATTGTGGGGAGGAGCCACAGCTTCCCAGGAGCTGGAGTTGCAGAGTCAGGAAGTTTCATAACTTGTGGGGTTGGGACATTTTAAGTTTTATTGCTAAACACGGGGCTAATACTCTCTCCCAGTTAGTCACATGGCTAAGGGTGGTTCAAAGGGCATGTGTACTCAGCAGTCCCGGGGAAGGGTGGGAGGGCCAGGGAGCAAAGAAGGGAAACAGCCTGCTTCTAGCTCTCCCAAGAACACGTCTCATAAAAAGGGCTTTGGTTGTTTTCTGTGCCAGGTCTCACTGTTCCTTATGTGGCCTCAGATGTGTCAACTGAGTTCTCTGGACCTTAACTGTCCCTTAAGTAAAATGGGAACCCTCCCTTGTAGGGCTGGCTCCACACCTCTGCAGCAGTAGCTTACTTCCGAGACTCCACCTCTCCCCTTTCTTGGCACAGAGGAAGTCAGTTGTTAGCCAGGGCAGATGTTCCCCAGTATCTCTCTAGTCTCGAATGCTGTAACATACTATCCTTTGGAGGTTCCCACTGACAAGCAAAACAGAGCACATGCTTTGAGTTTTTCTTCCAGCATCAGGGATATTTCTTGCTATTGATGGCCACTTTCATACCTGAGCCCTCTGGCTGGGTCAAGGACACTGCCAAGAAGTAAGAAGCTAAGAAAAGTCAAAGGGAACTCAGCCCTGTACCCTCCATAGCCACCTGGGTACTGAGCTACTGAGAAAGATGGCTCTTGCTGCAAAAGACTCATTGTTTACAGGCCTATGTTACAGCTCACATCCAAGGAATCCGAATGAGTTCTAGCGGAGTGTGTGTTACACATACCAGCTGTGCCCATCCAATTCAGATGGAGGTGGGACATCCCTTAGGCTTTTTGGGGGCTAGCTGGTGTAGGACAGTCTGATGACCCCTGAATAAGCTGTGTGTCACCTCTTCATCCCAACAGGAAATCATTGAAGGTGAAAAGACAATGCTTACTGAGCATCAAGTACATGTGGCAGCAGGCCAGGAGTCTTACGCAGGTTCTGTCCCCCAGAACCCCTAGGAGTTGGACACTCATCCCCACATTACAAATAAGAAAGCGTGGCTGAAAGAGGCGGAGTGATCTGCCACAGGTCACCAATCACAAATCACACAGCAGGGCTGGGATCCAAATCACGCACCCTTCTTGTTGCTCCATACCTCTTCCATGGGGCTGTCCATAACCTCCTGCAGGAAGCGCATCTGCACACCAACCATGAAGGGGGTTGGGCAGCAGACGGTAGCGAGAAGGCTCTCGGGGACAACAGGGATGTAGGTGTGTGCCCAGCTGAAGGGGTAGAGGAGTGCGGCAGTAGCGTGGATGCACTGAGACAGGGTGCTGGGACAGAGAACAGAAGTGAGAGAATGAGAGGGCCCCCTGCACCTCCACGCTGCACACCCACCCCTCACAACCCACCGCCACAGGAGCTTCCAGAAGTGCAACTCTGGGAGCCCTGCGGCTCACAGAGCTTGTAACCACCTGTCGCTGGGAGGGGAGGGGCAGAAAGCAGGAGCGGCGGCCAGGGCTCCTCCAAGGGTGAGGCCTCTATTTGATCCTTCTTTCCCTGGTCCCTCAGTCTTCTCAACTCATTACTGACAACAAATAGAAGTGGCCCACAAGAGGGGAGGGAAGAAGCTGTCTCCTCCCTCAAGCAGATCATTGCTTGAGCCCTTGCGGAGCTCGTGGTGCAGTGAAGACAGACAGGGACACACTGGGAGCTCCGCCGCAAGCCAAAGCCTTCTTTTCCTCTTTATGTCTGCACCCTCCTGCCCAGCCTTGACCTCACACAGCCCCTGGCCACTGGAGCCCAGGTTGGTGCCTGAGTTAGCCTGGGAAATCCCTCACTTCCAGGAACCTCTGCCGGGCCATTCCCATGCGGAAAGTCCCACAGAGGTGGCTCCTCCAGCCTTTCCAGCCAAGCACTGCTCTGGTGTCTTTGCTGCCCAGGTCACAGCTCAGCCTCCTTCCTCAGCCTACCACACACGCAGCCCCACTCTGTCTTCCCTCTTTTCCACCAGCTTCCAAGGCTCCTCAACACTCCGGCCAAATCGCCCCAAAGCCAAGGCCAATAAAAACACAGATGTGGAAACCTTGTTTCAGTTCTTTGTATCGGGACTGCACGTCCTGAGTTAGAAAGAGGAGTTCTCTGAGAGCCTAGCAAGAGAGCAGGCTGACTGCAGGTTCCTGCCCTGCCTGGCTTCGGGGGTCTACAGACCCGGAGCTGAAAGGAAGTGAGGGGTAGTGGCAGGAGGGAAGCCCTGCCCCCTTTATTTCCTGACCCCTAACTTGAGCAGGGAGGGCCAGAACCCCAGCTGCAGCCACTATGAATCTTCCATACAGGCCAGGCATGGGAGAGTCACTTCCTAAGTGAAAGACCATGCTGCTCCCTGCAAGGAGCAGCCTGCAACAAGTTCTTTCTCAGTTATCACTGATGTTTCTTAGAATTCTCACCACGCAGAAGCCACTCCCTGCCCAAACTTCCTCTCCTCTGACACCCCTGACATCCACCTGACCCCACCCCACTTCTGTTTGTTCCCTAAACATCTTTGCTTTCCCTTCCTTCCTAGAAGATAGAACCAGGGCTCCCAGCCCAATGTCGTAGGTTCTCTCCCTCCTCAGATAGGAAGGTCAATCCCCTACTATTTGTATTTCTTTTGTGTTCTCCATTCTGCCACTTTTCTCCCCATATCTTTCTTGGACCTGAAGGCCCTCGGGAGGAAACCAGTTCATGAAAGCACCCTGCTTCAACTACACACAGGGCGGCCGGCGCCGTGGCTCAATAGGCTAATCCTCCACCTTGCGGCGCCGGCACACCGGGTTCTAGTCCCGGTCGGGGCGCCGGATTCTGTCCCGGTTGCCCCTCTTCCAGGCCAGCTCTCTGCTATGGCCAGGGAGTGCAGTGGAGGATGGCCCAGGTGCTTGGGCCCTGCACCCCATGGGAGACCAGGAGAAGCACCTGGATCCTGGCTCCTGCCATCGGATCAGCGCGGTGCGCCGGCTGCAGCGGCGGCCATTGGAGGGTGAACCAACGGCAAGGGAAGACCTTTCTCTCTCTGTCTCTCTCACTGTCCACTCTGCCTGTCAAAAAAAAAAAAAAAAAAAAAAAAAACTACACGCAGGGATACACTCAGCCATGAACCTAAGAACAGCTAGCCCTGCCAAGTACCTCGTGTGTCTGATTCCTTCTCTTCCTCTCCACGGCTTTACGAGGTAGGTGTAATCACTTCCATTTTATAGATAATGACTTCAAGAAGTTATTAATAAACTAACAAAGGGGACCCTCCTAGCTAAAGGCGGAAGGAGAGCAGAGTTTGAATCTCATTCTGCTGATTTTTCTGGGCTTACGCTTTCAACTGCTAAGCAATTCTACAGCCCCTGAGGTCAAGGGCCAGGTCTTGGTTGTGCCTTCCCAGTGCCAGGCACTTGACAAACAGTAGACACATCATAAATGTTTGCTCAGTGAGTAAATAAATGGGCTTTGCCTCTGTCCCATCACAGATGTTCCTGTCCTGTTCTCCACCCTCCTTCCATCCCTCCGTGTTGCAAGGGCAGCATCCTGTCTGCATCCACCCTAACCAGTCCCGCCTGGGCTGTCCCAGGTAAAACTTCATGCCATTCTCAGAGCTAAGTCAGGGACCTCCTTCCAGAGCAGACAATCAGATCCGGAGGGAGGGGCAGGGGAATGTGCAGACCCAGGAGCTGGAAGTGGGAGGGTGGGCATGTGGGGGTCCTACAGCCGCACTCCCCCCCAGAACCCCTGTCTGTTCTCTGGAACCCAGGGGTACCAGCCAGTCCAGGCGAACTGTGCAGTGGCTGGGCTCACCTCAGCCCTTCTGCTAGGAAGATGATTTTTCTCTCCAGCACCGCAGAGGCAAAGATCTGAAGAATCTGCTCAAAACGGAGGCAGTCCAACAGAGAGCTAAAATCCACGTGTTCTAGATGGGAGTCCAGGGGCCGTGTCAGTGAGATGAACTGTGGGGAAACCAGGCCGAAGGGGAAGCACGTCACAAAATGGCGCATGCCCCGGGCTGCTGGGCCTCACCTCCACGCTCCCCGCGGGGGAGATCCATGCCGCCTTTCGTCCCCTGCTTTTCTCCTCTGCTCTGAGGCCAGTGAGAGCGGCAGCTTTGGCAGCGTCCACATGTCCCGTCCACCACTGGCCCCTGTCCCTGCACTCCACCGCAGCGACACCTCGGGCTCCTGGAGCACATCTCAGCCTTCCTGGGTGGGCCTCGCCGCCTGCGCTGTCCACCTGCCTTCATTCCCATCCTCCTCCAGGCCCCAGAGACCCTCCCCAGTCCCCTCACACTTCCCCATCTCTCTCCTCAAGCGAACCCCTGTTGCTTTGTCCTTTTCCTCACGATGGTATCATCTTTAATCATGTATTTAACGGTGTGTTGGCTCATTTAATGTCTGTCATCACTGTGTACCCAGAAAATAGCATAGCGCGGCACATCACAAGCACTGGGTACTCGTGTTTCCAAGTAAGTGAAAAGCCCAAGGCTCCCGCCCTATTTTTCCACAGGGAAGCCAAGGTGCAGAGGGGCACACAGGCTGTCCTCCATTCCAGGGGCCAGGACTGGAATTCTAGACCAGTGTGCCACTTGCCATCTCACTCTGCTCAGTGCCTTGAAACAACAGCATCCCCTTAACTGTAAAGCAGTTTTGTGTGTGTGTGTGCAAATTGCTGAAATCTTTACTTAGTATAGAGTTGGGCTTCTGTGTACAAAGTTAATTGAAAATGAACCTTAATGGAGAATGGGTCTGGGGAGGGGAGAGGGAGAAGGAGGAGGAGGAAGGGTGGGAGTATCAGTGGGAGGGTGAGTATGGTGGGAAGAATAACTACATTGCTAAAGTTGTACTTACGAAATCTGTATTTCTTGAAAAATAAATTAATTAAAAAATAGCATCATCACGTGGTGTGGGTGGGGACTTAGGAGTGGGGATGGGATAGATGGAGGCCTGTAAGGTGGAGAAATAGGACAGATGTGGGACAATAGGGTGGGGTGTCAAGGCAAGTGGCTGCTTAGGGGATCAATGTACATGGTTGTTGATGACAAATAAAAATTCTGATTGGCTTGAAGAGTAACCAGGTGCTGTGGGCATCAGGTTAGAAGGAAAGTCTGGCTTTGATTTTTTTCAGCTCTGCCAATAATTCTAACCAAGTGCCAGTCCCCCACCTAGTTCAGTTTCTAGGTACTTTGACCCGGTGAGGGGAAAAACCAGGGTGAGCCCACCCAATCCAGCTCGTCCTGCTAACCTACCTCAGTGCCTGAGTCGGGGATGAAGCTCTTGAGCGTGACCGTCTTCCCAGGAGCAGGGAAGGCCGCCTCTCGGAGGCCCTGCATGAACGGGTAGATGACGGCCATGGAGATCTGATGCCTCTTCTCCACTTCATCCAGGATCTGCAGGGAAGCCACAGCTCAGAGGGCACCCCTGGGCTGGGGGCAGAGAGCTCACGGGCTCCCCAAGCACTGTCGGGCTCTCACGCTGGTCCAGCTACTCCTGCTGTACTTTGAGGCTCCTCCACCAGCTGCTTCTCTCTCTGCCTCCTTGGCAGAACTTGTCCCACACTGAACAATCTGCTGCTTTGGGCCTGCACACCACCTACTTTCCCCCCTTGCCTTCTATCAATCCATATTCCCCTCTGTCCTAGCAACACAACACCACCTTCTCAGGAGGTGTTGTCATCCCACACTTATTTGGGCGCCATTTCTGGTTGCCACTCTGGTCATGGCACAGGTGCACAGGCATTCAAAGGACCCCCAAAGCAGTCAGAGGGAGTCGGAGCCCCTGCCAAATGACAACGGCCCTCCTGTGTGTTCGGTGCTCTGCCTTTAGGAAGATGCCTCTCTTAAGGCACCTTGTCTGAGCCCCACTCCAAGCTGCGAGATAGGACAGGGAGGGATCGTCACCTCCATGGGATGGCTGAGGACATGGAAACTCAGGGCAGAAACCTCCCGAGGCTGGGCCTGCTCCAAGCACTTCCTAACCCGACCAGAGTGAGAACAGCGGCTCCCTCCACAGCGGGAGGCAACGGTCCCCTACATTCAGCCTTCACTTTTCCCTAAAATCAAGTCGTGCCCAGGTCCCTCAGCCTCGGCTCTCCCAGGTGTGCCTTGATGCCTACCCAGGCTGTAGGGGAGGGTGCCGCTGAGGGCGGGGCTGGCAGGAGGGCAGCGCCTAGGAGCTGAACAAGCCTAACAGGCCCCTGGGAATCCCGCTCCACTCCTACCTTGGAGAACAAGCCAAAGCAGCCGATGCAGCTGATGATGCAGTACACCTGGGGAAGGCGAGGGCCGGGGCCGGCGGGCTGGAGGGGACAGAGAGGCACCTTCAGGGTTGTACCCTCCCCAGGGGCTTCTGCCAGCTGGGGCTGATGGGGCACAAGACATGGGGAGTTGGGGGTGGGTCACATGGAGCAGGGCCTGGCTACACAGGGACTTCAGTCACGGGACAGGCAGCAAGGAGGTCAGAGCAGCCACCAAGGTCAAAGGAAGATGTCCCTCAGGGGCCAGCAGGCTCATGGGTAAGCGCTGCCACCTTCAGGGCCAGCAGGATCAGGGGCTCAGCAAAGAGAGGTGAAGGTGAAGGCAACTTGGAGACTCCCCCTGAGACCCAAGGATTGAACCTAACTGCCCAGATCCTCACCTCTGCTCTGGGAGGCCCTGGGGTCTAAGGCAAGCAGGCCTGGCCCGAGAAGGCAGGCAGAGGAGTCAGTCGGAGCCTTTCCCAAAGAGGGGAGCTGTTGAAAGCAAAAGCTGGGGGGCAGCACAGACCAGGCATGGCCAGAAAAGGTCCCCAGGGGGACTGAGGAGGGGCATCGTGTCCTCATTCTTGGGGGTGGGGGTTGCAGAGTGGGCACTAACATGGCAGCAGGTGCTGGGCTGGGCTCTCTCTCTAACCACCACTGCCAGGGAGGCTGTGCTTTTGTAACTGAGACTTGAGGGAGCCCAGCTGTGGAGCTGAGTAGGCTGCAGAGAGGAGGGGGCAGTTCTGAGCTGCACAGACCAAGAGGCGCCTGCAGTATCCAATCTTCCTGCTCCCATCCACATTGGTCAGGACGAAGGAGAAGGTCTCCCTAAGAAAGAGCAGACAGATGGGCAGTGTCAGAGGCTGGAGAGGAGGGCCGGGGGCTGCTAACCAAACATGGCAGCAATAACACCAGTAACTACTAAGTGCTCATTGGTGTCAAGCTCTCAATGCATCTCCTCATTTAGTTCTCAAAACAACATTTTGCTGCAGGTTCAATGATTCTTCCTCCTCAAAATGAAGGAGCTGAGGCTCTGAGAGGGTGTTCTTATCCAGGCTCATTCAGCTCCAAAACAGGGAAACCAAAATTCAACCTCAGTCAAATTCCAGAGCTTGAGTAAGGGCCTTTGCTACACGGCCTTCTTAGAGGCCACACTCTTCTGGACCTTCTGCTAAGTCCAGCTTCTGCCAGTGGCAGGGTCGAAATGAGTGATTACTGCTCCAAGGACAGGCAAGCAAATTTCAGCCATCTTTGGACAGAGGCAGTCAAACATGGCCTTGAGGGACCCCAGGCAAGAGGCTTAGAAATGAATCCACTCTACTCGCTGGCAGGAAATTAGCATAGAGCCCAGGTGAGGGGGACCACAGGAGCCACATGGCTTCTTCCTGTCACTTTTCCCCCTATCAGATGCCCCGTCCCAGGGCTGAGCAGTTACCTGGGATACTCAGTGAGTGGGGCCCACTCATTCCCATCTGGGAAGCAGAACAAGGGGATGGCTTTGAGCAGCCGCTCCTCTTCCTCCTGCTGGCCCCGCAGCAGGTTCTCCCGCTAGAAGGAAAGGGAAAAGAATGAGTGGATTGTGGAGGTGGGAGCAGGGGCGAGAGGAGGGGGCTTGAGGGCTGCAATCTGAGGATAAGCTCTCCCACTGGTATGGGCAGCAAAGCTTGCTTCTGCCTGTCACTCTGCAGTCTGCCTTCTGGGGTCTGGCTGGAACGACCCCCAAAGTTAAGACAGGCCCTCCTGGGTCCTATCGACATGAACTGAGTTAGACTTCAGAGTCTTGAGGATCTGTGTATTCAGGAAGGGAGTCGGGGCCACCGTGAAGACAGAAAGGCCCCGAGATGGCCAGCCCTGTGGGAAGATGACATCAGCGAGATACCACATCAGAGAAGAGAAGCGGCCAGCTCAGTTGCTGCATCTGTGCACAAAAGGGGTAAACGAGCCCTTTCACCCTGGGCATGGGCACACAAGAAGGGACCCTGACAGAGTCTGAGGTCTGCCCATCAGCCAGGCGCCTGCCCCACCCTCTCCCTCCCACACAGCCGAGGGAGGGGATCCATTCCAGGAGGACTGGCAGAAGGTAAGCTTCTCTGCCAAGATGGGTGATGGAACTTGAAAGAACTAGGAGGTCCCAAAAAAGGGCACAAACTCTAGGCTTGCTTCCCCGCTGGCGAGCCTAGTGCAGACCTAGATTTCTGTGGGTGATAACAGAAACCCAGGGCTGGGCTGAGAAGGAAATGGAGAGCCGTGAGCTCAGAGCGCAGGGCAGCTCCGGACTCAAGCCCAGAAAAGATGGGAGAAGGAGAGGGGACCTCAGCGCCACCACCATGCAAACACTCCCATGTGCTCATCTGCTCTCCTCCCCCTCCTCTCCCCTCCCCCCACCCCAGGTCTTACCTTGGGAAACTGGTAGGTGATGGTGGGCTCATAATCATTCGCTAAAAGCTTTTTTTTTAGGGAAACCACAAGAAGGTATTCAAAGAAATGCTGTCCTCCAGCGAAGTTGGGCAGAGGGTGTTCCTGGGCCCTTTCTGGTTCCTTCACAGCTTCTTCCCGATTGCCCTGCGGAGCTCCTGGAACCAAGACACGGGGGCCCACTCACTATCTCCTCCACCCAGTCAGTCCCAGAGCGGAGTCTGGGGGAATCCGGGCAACTTCCACGCCTCAAGGCCGCCTCACCAACACCAGATACCCACAGCCTGACCTGCACCGGCGGTCACGGAACGGGATCAGAGCCAAGTGGGCAGTTTCCACACCTGCCCTGGGAGACCTGAAAGCACGGGGAGCTGGCAGGAGGGAAGAAACCACTGGTGTGGAGCCAAGGAAATGTACTACAGAGGCCGCGGGCAGGCCCAGTGCCCGGGGGTGGGGGTGGGGGTGCCAGCCTCCGCCTGCTCACAAGGTGCCCCGGGCAGTCCTGGAACCGTGTGCCCCAAGAGAAAACTGGGACTACACAATCAGAACAAGCCCACGGTACATGTGACCATGAGCTCCAGCAACCCCCGCGGCGGCACGGCCCACTCCACACACCAGCAGGGAAAACTTCCCTGCCTGTCACATGGGGGCCCATGTGGAGGTGGAGACACAAGGGAAGAGGAGAAAGGAGCATTTTAAGGAAGAGACAGCCAGCCCATCGAAGACGACCACCCTACACAGAAGGAAGTGGGTGTGCAGTCCTGACCTGCTCTGCGGCGAGGAAGCCGGTTTCGGAAGAGCCTTAGCGCCCGGCCCACCACTTGTCCTTCCATCTTCCCGGACCTTCAGGGCATGGAGTACCCCCCTCCCCCCAACACGGGCTGCCTACAGAGAGCCCGCGAGAGGAGCTGCTACGTCAGTCCCTGGCCACAGGCCCCTGCTGTTGTCCTCGGAGGCGGGGAGAGCAGTTTCCATCCTGTGCACCCTTCCGGGGAGCAAGAAGGATGTGCCGGGGGCCCAGGAGGCAGCCCGACGCAGGCACTGACAGAGGCAGCATCCTGGCACCGCCGCTCAGATCTCAGCTCCTCCCAAGAGCCCCAGGGTGTGGTGAGAGAAAAGGTCATGAGCAAACACCTCCGCAACCCAGCTGCTTCCAGGCTCAGGGCTTTGAATTCTGGGTGCTGAGCGCATGGTGAATTTCCTACAACCTTGGGACAGTGAAGAACGCCCGATAGCATCAGACCGTGGTTACTGGAACCTCACTGGTCTCGGGACAGGCATCTGATAGCCCCGTAACTTGGACTGCGGGACTTCCACTTCTCAACCCGGCCAACAGCAGCCAGCAACCCCTGCAAGGTCACCTGCCACGCTGCCGAATGTCCAGGACTTCAGGACCCCAATCAAGAGCACATGAGTAAACACACTCCCAGAAGCTGGAATGCCGCCGCCTTCCCCGGATTAAGATAAGTAAACTAGACGTGATAACTATCTGAATGCTTTAATTCTTCTAGAACAGGAGGGAACCCTGGGAATCAATAGAGACCCCACAATAGAGACCTCTCCCACTGGTGAAGGCCAAAGCAGAGTCTAGCTCATTCCTGCTCTTCCAGGAATACCTCCAGTGGGGAACTTCTCACCCCCGGCAACAGTCTGGGGCTAAGGCAGAGAGTTCCGTCACTGGGACCTGTTCCAGGGCTCCCTCAGATTCTCTCTTCCCAAATAGGAAGCCCTGACTCAGGAGACTGACCCTGGGCTAGCGCAACTGACCGGTTGCATCAGCAGCCTGAAGGTCACTTGTTGGAAAGCATCTGGGTGACCTCCAGCGACCCCCACTCCTGCTCAGCCTTTCGCCCTGCAGGGCCGCATCAACAGTTCTGCCCATGCTACAAGAAGAGCTGCTAGCTTATTTCTGTGTCCAGAGATGGGGCAAGAGAGAATAGCAATAAGTCGCCTAGGATTCTCACAGAAGCCCCTGAATGAAAACAATGCATGGGGTCAGAAGAAAGGACTTTTACCAAACTGCCTCAAAGATGATGCAGGAGGCAAAAGGGTTTGGTGCCAGTGTCTGCCACCCCTGCAAAGAGCTGGCTGCCCTCTGGAACAGAGCAGGGTCGTGGAGTAGGGGAAAGGCTACCTTCCTCCTAAGAGTGCTACACCTGGGTGGGCATCTGGGGCCGAGGCTATGACACCCAGGTTTGAATCTTGACTCCACTTCCCACCCTAGCTTCCTGCCAATGCACACCATGAGAGGCAACAGGGGATGGCCCAAATGCATGGGTCCTGCCACCCACATGGGAGACCCAGATTGAGTTCCAGACTCCTGGCTTCAGCCTGGCCCATTTGGGGAGTGAACCAGTAGATAGGAGATCTCTCGATCTCGATCTCTCTCTCTCTCTCTCCCTCTCCCTCTCCTTCTCCCCCCTTACCTCAGTTTTTAAATAAATTAAAAATATTTTTTAAAGCGCTCCAGACCTGGCTTTACTGGAACTAGTAAAAGCCGGGTCTCAGTGGCCCAACCATGACTCCTGGGGGAGGCCCAAGGACAGTAAATAAGGATGTTAAGAAAGTTGCAGTGGGAGGAGGAGTGAACCAGAACCCTCAAAGCCGTCATCCACGCCTTCCTCACAGCCTGCACAGACTTGCACAATCCTCACTGCCTGGCTGAGAGACAAGCATCTTCTTGATGCAGAGGGGGAAACTGAGGCATGGCATGATTCACAGCCTATTTAACATTTACAAGATCTGCTGGAGGTAGGGGGGTTATGAAAGCCTCGTGTGCACCCTTTTGTTTCCTGGGTGCCCTCCACATCAAACACCGCACAGGTTTGCAAAGGATTTTGAGAGCCAGGATCTTCTCGCTGGTCTTCCAGGGCCTCAGGAAATCATGCCTTTTCCTAAATCCTTCGGGCAGCATTTTCAGCCCATTTCCTCCTGCTTTATCAGGACAGGCAAGACAACAGCAAAACTCAGAAAACCTTGACAACAACAACAAAAAAAGGAACTCAACTTTGGAGCAAAGGCCCAAGAAATGTAGCAAAAGACTGCTCCCCCCACCCCTGCCCAACAGAAAAGAGCAAGAGAAGACTCGCATCCATCATATAAGGCATTGCATTTAATCCCCTGTGCCTGAGAAAGGAGTTATTATCCCAAATTTGAATTCAGGAGGGACTCACCCTTTCTGGGGAAGTCAGGAGTCAGGTTATACTTGTTCCTCCACCAGGAAGCCCCTCCCACAGCCACCTGATTGAAGTCCCAGAACTCTGCAGAATATAGGTGAGGGGCCTTTGGGAACCTTGGTCTGAAAAGCTGACCCTTCCTCTTCCAGCTCAGCTTCTCTCGACCCACAGGGACCACCACACCACTCCTCACCACTGGGATTATTTACACTCATGCACACACACACAGTCCCTGCTAATGCACAAGCCTGAGGCCAGCATGGCCAAAGAAGAAGGGCACACTTGGGCCTGACAGGTGCTACTCCCTAGGACAGCTAGCGCTGACTGCTGTCTCCAGGTCCTCGAGGTCCAGGAAGCTCCATCAACAGCCTGTGTTGGTGCACAGGTGGACTGCAATGACTGGACTCTCTGGGCTGCAGGGAGCAGCCCCCTTCCATTCAACAGACTCCCCAGGAAAACAGGCAGGGGCTCTCCAGCTGCAGCCTGCTGGCTGCTCCAGCCACCACCAGTCCCTCTGCCCTGACCCGGATTCTCTGACCTCCTGGTCTAGACCTTGAGCCCTGTGTTCAGGAGGAACAGCAAGGATGGGGAAGGACCAAGAGCAGAACACACTGTGAGGTCACTGCAGGTCAAGGGAGGCACTGACCTCACTCACCCCCTGGGGTAGCCCCAACTCTGGGGCTTGCCGCAGCCCAAAGGGTCTCGCTGGGCCTCTTGCCTCACCAGTGTTAGACCGGGTGGGTGGTCTAGGAATGACCCCTGTTCCTTCTCCTTGGAAGACAGGGTTCTGTGCGCACAGCCTTCCGACACTAGTGGTTTGCAGCAACACATTTGCCCAGTGAATAAGTCAGTGAATTCCTGCCTGCCTGCCTTCTGAAGCCCAGCGCTCCCGTGGAGACAGCAGAAACCAATGCTGACTTCCAGTCAACCCCAGCATCCCCGACGGGAGGAATTCGTCCCACTTCACCGACCCGGCCTGAGGGGTGAGGCACGGGTCATTGATCTAGCTTCCCGGGCACACTGGACCCGGGACCACGCTCGGCCCCCTGCAGGGCGCTCCTGCCCGCCCGGGGCTGGCGGGCCACGTTAGTCCCGGAGCTCCGCTTTCGTGGCCCGCGGATATCAGCGGGGCCGGGACAGGCTGGCTCCCAGGACTTGGGCAAAGGCCACGGCAGAGTGGGGCGGCGAGGAGGGGCGGGCCCGGGGCCCAGGCTCTCGGGGCACCCTGCGGTTGCACCACAGCTTCCTGGATGAAAGGACACGTGGCTCCGGGGCCCCACAACGGTTTTCTCGGGCCAGCCGCCTCCCCGGCGCCCCCGCAAGTCCTGCCCATCCCGCCAACCTCTGTCCCCGCCACCTGCTGACCCCTTCGCCTCCACCTGCGCGCGCGCTCCAGCTCACCTGGCCCCGGACCAGCCCTCCCGAATCCCTGGCAAACGGCTCCCGGAGCCGAGCTGAGCCTCCGCGCCGCTCTGGCCCCGCGCCCGCCCCCAGCCAGCAGCCTCCGGTCCCCGCGCCCCTGCCCGGCGCGCCCGGGCCCGCACTAACCCCCGCGACCGCGCTTCAGTCTCAGGCTGGCTCGAAGGCGGCGGCCGAGCCCATCCATGGCCCCCGAAGCGCCCGGCGCCCGCTCTCAGGTCCGCGCCGGCCCCGCCCCCCAGTCCTTGACCTCCGCGGGCCCCGACACTTTCGCTTTCACGCGGGGGGTTGGGGGGGCGGGGCTGCGCACCTTCCGGGCTCCGGCCAGGCGCCGGCGCACCTGGGCGGGCCCGCTGTGCCCGGGCCCCTGGCGGCGCGGCGTGGGGTGACGGGGCGCTCGCCCGGCGTCCGGGAGGGGCGGTGCCTCGCGTTCCTACACCCGGCGAGGCTCGGCAGTGCCCAGACGCAACGGGCGGCGGCTGAAGTCACCCCCTACCTCCAGAGCGAGGGCGGGGATGTGCACCTTGCAGCTGGCTCCCATCTAATCCCAAAAGGGACATACCTTGAAGCTCCCTCCACCACTGCCCCTGCCGCTGCCTCGGCTCCTGGCCGTCCCCAGGCGTATTACTAGGTTTGTCCTCTTGCCCTGCGGGCTTCTTGAGGACCTACTACTGAAGCTGCAGGTCGAAGCCCAGAGCCTGCCTTCCAGCCAGTCTTGGTGCTAGGGCGGGTCCGACCCCCTTGCTGCTACACCGCAAAGATGTGACAGTTAGGGAATGGGCAGCTCTTTGTTGTGGGACTCAATTTAAGGGACTGTTATTAGCACCACTGTTGCTGCAGTCTCTACTCCCGTCCAATCCCTATCCAATCCCAAATCCCAGTGCAGAGCCCTTCCGTTCCTTCTCCCTCTTTGCACCTGCACTGACTTCCAAATATGCCGTGACTGCAAACTTCAGTTGTCAACTAGGAAGGACGACGTTCTATGACTGCTGTCACTTGCTACTGCGCCTTGAGCCTGGCTCCCTTCTGCCTCCCACGAGGAAGACGAGACCGGCAGAGTCCATCTGAACTGTCACTGTTCACAAGGTTTCAGCTTCTGTCTCAGCAGCCGGAGGCAGAGGGAAGAAAACACCATAGCAGACATGTGTGTGGTCCATGGAGCTTTGCCCCTGGCTTCCTTGTCCCCATGCTGCCTCCAGGTGACTCTGGTTCTAGACTATGGGTGTGCGGGAGCTGGGAAGCCAGCCCTAGTATTAAACTGTCTAGTTTTAGCACAGAGTTTCTAAAAGTTGACTTTATTCTGGGCATGTGCAATTTTGTACTTAATTACACAGTGCATTTCTGTTCCCTATTCTGTGTGTATTAACACACACAAGGACAGTTGTTTTCCAAGTGCCTTCTCCTGGCTGGACCATGTCTTATGCCTCTCTGGATAAGAACAGCAGTTGCTTTGTTGACTATTATCCTGCCTTAATTTTCTCAACTTATTTTATAGCATTCCCAACAAAATTGTACCCTTCCTTTAAAAAAATGAAAGGAGAAGGGCTGGTGCTGTGGCATAGCAGGTAAAGCTGCTGCCTGCAATGCCAGCATCCATTTTGGGTTCCAGGTTCGTGTAGTGGCTGCTTCACTTCCAACCCAGTGCCCTGCTAATGACCTGGAAAAAACAACAGAAGATTATGGCCCAAGTGCTTGGGCCCCTACTCCCCATGTGGGAAACCTGGTTGAAGCTCTTGGCTCCTGGCTTTGGCCTGGCTCAGCCCTGGCTGTTGCAGCCACTCAGGGACTGAACCAGTGGATAGAAGATCTCTTTCGTTCTCTCTCTCTCTCTCTCTCTCTCTCTCTCTCTTTCTCTCATTCTGACTTTAAATAAATAAATAAATCTTTATTAACAAAAAGGATGGAGAAAAGCATGCACATGTGCACCAATAAAGACAAGTACTATACAAGAAGGCTCATAGAAGCCTTATCTGAAATAGCCTTAAGCTGGAAAGAATCTCACATGCTTGTTAACAGTAAAATGATGAGTTGCAGCGTATTCATACAACAGAATGCTACACGGTTGTAAAAAGAAGAAAGCCACTGCTGCATGCAGTAATATGGCTACACTGTGCAAACATAACCTTGACCCAAAGAAACCAGGCACAGAAGAGCATATGATGTAAGCATCCACCCACGGAGAGTTTAAAACAGGCAAAACTAATCTATGGTACAAAGAGCCAGGATGTGTTACCTTTAGGGAGGAGAAAAAAATAATGATTGGGAGAATGCAGTAAGCTTCTGGGGTGCTGGTGATGGCCCATTTGTTAACCTGGTGCCAGATATACTGTGATCATTCTTTGCTTATGCTTGATGAAGCTGTAATTTTAAAAAGTTTTTTTTAAGTCTGTGTTAGGAGGTTAAGGTGGCATTGAGAGTAGTGAGGAGTTGGAAGCTAATCGAGAATCAAATGAGAAATCACTAGGATGTGAGCAAGTAGAGTTAAGTATAATCTACATGTTTGAGACATGTAGATAACAACAGGAAAATGTTGGTCCACAGGTTTCAGGGAGACTTGGGTTTAAAGTGGTTTGTTAAGATGGAAAAGGTCAGAGTGCATTTGTGGGCATAGAGACAGAGACCAGAAAGGGAAGGAATTTAAAGTGCGAGAGTGTGTGCAGAGAGAACTAGGTCTGAGAGAAGTGAGGAAGGGCAATCAGAGGCTTAAAAAGAAGTCTGACTTTAAATGGGAAAAGGGAACATTTTCCTGTGGGGAAAACAAGAGGCGTGGATGGCTAAGGATGTTGAAGATTTTATAGGTGAGGAAGTGGGGAGTAAAGGAAGCACAGGAGGCTTCTGTGTCTGCTGAGACAAAGGCTCTTTGACTTCTTCTAGCTGGGGTCCTCCACTCTGTCCCACAGGTTATTTCCCAGAGTCTGGTTGTGGAATGGCAGAACATGACCCCAGCCTTCCTGTTCTGAAGGTCTTGAAAGAAAGCACACAAATAAGTTTTATCCAGGGAGGAAGCAATGGCACAACAAAGTGAGCTTGGGCGTCTGTGACAGACAACTTAGACTTGGCGTCCCTCCGCCTCTTACTTGCCTGCAGCCTTGGGCTAGGCACGCCCCTGAGCCTTGCTCTCCTGAGATAATAAAATCACTGCACAGTGTAGTTGTAGGGATTAGAATGAATTTATTTGTAATACAAATTCTAAACTTCACGTATCCCTTTAATCCTCAAATAACTGTAGTCTCAGCTCCATCTCTTTTAACTACAGGAAATATGGTCTTTACCAGGCTCTTGTCTCCAGGTGTTTCTGAGAAACCCTAAGAAAAATTTACTCCATAGACTGCTTCTGGTTTGTCATCATAAGTCATCATAGAGACACAAGCCACTACCTTCTCCTTCTCAGTTCAATCCGCTTATCTCAACCAAGACTATCACTGTTCTCCCCAGCACCATTGGGCCCACAGGACATTGACTCTACCTTCAATTCCGTGCACTGATAGTTGAGATGTGAAGCAAGGCTTGTGAAGACTTTGCTCTGTGATAAGAGGAGCAAAGGAGGACTTGAAGGCAAAATAGCACCGCTTTCAGGGTCTGTACGGGGATCCTTTTCTGGGCATTTCTCTGCCTACTCCAAGACCTGCTCCCAAGTTCCTGGAACTGCTGACCTGGCTCCAGTGGAAGCACTTTGGGTCCAGCATGTCTCCAGATGCACACATTTCAAAATGATTAACAATGGCAATACTTATTATTTTCAAGGGGAACTTGCCCCATATGTAGAATCTGATTTCATCCTTCAGCACAAAGACACAAAAATAACAACAGCAACAACAAAATGCCCCCTCTCTCAAGAATGGGCCCATCAGGACAGAATGACCCCATTCATAGTTCTGTACAACTCTTTCCTCTTGAGATGAGCAGAAGCTCGGGCTATGTATCCTTCAAGCCATCTGAGGTCTTGGCTTCAGATCTCCCATGAGAAACAACTTGAATGACAGCCTACGCTTCTGCCAGAAACAAGAAATGCTATCCAGGATTAGGAAAGAACATCCAAATATTGGAAACAAAGATGACCTTTTATGCTACCACAAGGAGTTCCTGGAGCCAACATCTCAAATCTCTCTCTTTTAGACCAGGGTCTTTGCTCTATACTTGAGGACCAAAAGTCTATTGGGATGCGTTCATTCACAAAGTCCGCCTTGACTGAAGTTCCTGTGTGATTGATTCTCCTTTGTTTATTTTCTGGCCTTGTTTTCTGCACTTTGTCCCTCCTCATATCATCCTTCCCGTTCTTTCAAAGTGCCAAAGTCTTTTCAGTCCCAACATCCCCATGCTGATCCCTCTGCTTAGAATATTCTTTCACGAGCTCCACGCCCTCCAACTTCCATTTGTCCTTTCTATTTTGTTAAAAGGACTCTTTCCTGGGGCTGGCACTGTGGTGTAGTGCGTTAAGTTGCCTCCTGCAACACCAGCATCACATGTGGGCACTGGTTCAAGTCCCATCTGTTCCACTTTCCAATTAAGCTCCCTGCTAATGCTCTTAGGAAAGCAGCATAAGATGGCCCAAGTGCTTGGGCCCCTGCACCCACATGGGAGACCTGGATGAAGCTCCTGGCTCCCAGCTTCAGCCTGGCCCAGCCCTGACCATCGCATTCATTTGGGGAGTGAGCCAGCAGATGGAAAATTTCTCTCTCTGTCTCTTCCTTTCTCTCTGTAACTCTGCCTTTCAAAATAAATAGGTAAAAAAAATTTTAAAGACGTCTCCTGGGGTTGACATTGTGGTGTAACAGGTTAAGCTGCCACCTGCAGTGCCGGCATCCCATGTGGGTGCCAGTTCAAGTCCCACTGCTCCTCTTCCAATCCAGCTCCCTGCTAATGTGCCTCAGGAAGGCAGTGGAGGATGACCCAAGTCCTCGGGTCCCTGAACCCACGTGGGAGACCCAGAAGAAGTTCCTGGCTCCTGGCATTGGCCTGGCCCAACTCCAGCTCTTGTGTCCATTTGGGGAGGGAGTGAGCCAGCAGATGGAAGATATTTCCCTCTGTCTTTCTCTCTTTCTCTAGCTCTCGCTCTCATTCTCTCCCTCCCCCTCTCTCTCTCTTGTCTCTCTCTCTCTCTCTAACTCCGCCTTTCAAATAAAATAAAATACATCTTTTTTTATTTTTTAAAGACCTTTTTTGGGAAGACTTCTTGATGCTTCTTCCCATTAAAATGGATCCAACTGTTACAAGTCACACTACTTCCTTTGTTTCCTTAGGAGCATTTAAAGTATGTATAGTCACATGCGTATGGCTGAGATTACTGTCCAGCACGCCTCTC